CCCCCCGCGAAATTTACGCATCTGAACTATATTTACTATGCCGACCTTCACTACTGCCCTCAATCCTTCACCGTGTAACCTAGAACTTGACATAGACCTCGCTTCGCAGATCCAGGCCACCGGCGGGCAATTCTCGAATTGCGCTGCATAGTACGGTCTTGGGCAACGCTCATGTAATTTATGTGTGTTTTGTGTGATTTGCATGGCGAAATGACATAGTTCGAAAATGTGGGGCATGATGACCCTGACAAGGCATTTTTGTAGTTTCTTTTGAGGAAGCGAAGATTGGGAAACGAGGTCGCAATAGAAACGCAACAAATCGGAAATAGTCTTGAGGAAAGCTCTATTTTGTAAGTAAGCTTATCTAGGCACTGTGAGTACTTAAGATTACTTTAGACATGAACAAGACGTGAATCTTCATTTAAAAGCAACTGTTGGTTCCAGGACGTATCTCGGTTGGATGACTTGGTAATGAATGTCCGCAGAAGTAGATACATGCCGCGTGTTTCGAGCCGTAGGTGTCGAGAATGTGCCGCATCGCAGTCCAGCTATTGTCTTTGCCTTGATTTGCTTCAGTGCATGGTACCGCGCTGGAAAAGCCTTGCTTTCCTCCGAGATCGGTGCTCATGGAACGGTCAGCATTTGGCGCTGATTCATGTCGATCTTCGACGACCTTGTGCCCTTATTTCCAATTGGCGAGATACGATGGTTTTCAGGAGAGTCGCGGCCAGAGAGCATTCGATCGCGCGGTCCCTTCTGTAATTTCAAGGCCTGACCTACAAAACGTTGTCACCCACATTCGCCGGTAAACGTTACCGAATGGTCGATTAGACCCTACTAACTTTTCTAGCACCGAACTACGTCGCTCTTTGACACAGCTAATCATCCAGGAACTTATCCGTGCAATGTCAGCCTTAGCCGTCTCTAACTTCAATGAAGAATTCTGGGACTGAAATATGCCAACATCTGCCTTTTTGGATCATTTAGATTACATTCCCACATTCTTCCTGCAAGCCCCCTATACGAACAAAAGTCTATTGATAATGACAGTTTCTTCTGCGGCTATGACCTTTTTAACAAATAGATGAACTAATCTAACAATGCATAACTTTGGCTCGAGTATCGCTCCATCTCACTCACACTCAAAAAAAACAAACAAAAACAAAACGATTTCATGCTATCATCAGAATTTCACATTCATTACCAGAAATGATAGGCTCACAATAGTCTTCGAGTTCTTACAAACAGATCAAATAGATCTGGTAAAAGTACAACTGCTCCGATCTTCAGAAAAGACGCAGTATTCTTTCCAACTTTGAATAGCTTGTGTAGAAGGGATGTCTCTATGAAGATTCAATGTAGCCAGTATACTTCGTTATGAGTGCCAATCACAAAGATTCAACTCTAAATCATCTACAATAAGAAACCAACCATTGCACAGCATACCATTAGACGTTCTGTTAAGACAAGACGCTTTCTCCTCTTTTTATCTTACAATTTTTGTTATCATGGAAGTCTGAGATCGTGTGTAGCGTAAGTCACTGCATACTCACTTTACATCTTCGATCCTTCCGCTCTGTCTGAATTTCGAAAAGTTCAGGTTATGATTTTTGAATATGAGCCAGGAATTTGCCCTATGAGTCTATTGCTTTCTCCGGTTCTCATTATAGCTAAGTGGCATGGTCATCGTGAATTTATTAGAATTTCTTCACTTCAGTTCCGTATTCATCAGAGCAGTTAACCTAGTTCAGAGTTGTATGCTCCATCAGACACTCAGAACTACACAAACTGGTATGGTATGTCCACAGTCTGCCGAAAATTCGCGCCAGCTAATTATTGAACCGAAGCCGATCCGACCTTACTCGTTCACTGATGGAATTACCCTTTATCAGGTATTATCGTCCGTTTGTATGATGTATGTATTCCGTTATTATGTAATCCGTTTGTATTAGTGTATTTGCATATTTTGTCCATTTGATGCAGCTCTAGCTCCCAAAAATTCTAGCTTTACCTCTCTCAACTTGGCTCCACCACTCCCTACGCTTTATCCCTGAGCAACGCATCTGCCGGTCCAGCCTGCTCTCACTTGCTTAATTCTTCCGAGCAGAGAAGCAGCAGCAGGTAACGCTTCAATTGCACTTGAGGATTGCTTGGCTGTCCTTCCTCTGACCTCCCCTGATTCGCGTCTTCTGCAGCCCAGACACCTCCACCAGCGCTTTCTTCCCACTTCTCAATTCGCGTCTGACAAACGACTCCTCTCCAGACGAATCATGGTTGTCGCATTACACAGACTCACGAGATGGGGTTGAGTTGGTAAGACAAAACACTCAGGCACTCGTGGTAGCTATGAATCTTCTTCAGCCGTCGCTAGAATCTGAAGATGTGGATGTGACTGATCCGATCGAAAATACCCCGTCTTTACACAGAAAGGCAAGAACCATTTCGGCTATGATCATACTTTCTAATTTATCGTTTATCTAGGTGGCTCCGTTTCCGAGCTATGTCGAGTCACCGAGCGTCTGTGGTATCTGTAACGACCGCTCGTCGGGAATGCACTATGGGATTTACACATGTGAGGGGTAGGTCTTGAAACATCTTTGCCTGTAGCACAGTTCACTGAATCCGCAATGCTGCCTAAATTTTTGAACGTCGAACATACAGCATTATCAATTTCTCTGTATTGTTCAACTAGCAATCAATGATAAATTCTTTCTTCTTTAAAAACGGACAGGCAGAGCACTATTTGACACCAGATTTCTCAGTTTTGCTTAAAAAAACAATGTCATCCTTACTGCTTCCGAGCAGTTACACAGTTCCTGTATTATATGACCCCTTTTATTGGTAAAGCAAGTATGGTCGAAATAGACACACTGGAGTTATTCATGAATTATAATTGTAAATTGCAAGTTGTGAATCTAATTGTAATTCATAAACTATAATCGTGAATTTCGCGAAGCATACGAAGTTTGAAGTTTATACCCCATTTTTGTCATTCGCTCTATCGGAGTTACAGAAATGCCTTTTTTATCGCTTTTAAAGCCAGATTTATCCCCATTGAACACATGACAACGGAATAATTGCGAATCTTTCCTCTTATTTTCCTACACATTCTTGCTAAAAAGTTGTGACTTTTTTATACATTAGGTCGGTCCGAAAGTTTTATCGTTTCCTTATGAAAAAATCGTTAACTTCTCGCCATGAGGAGACTAGCTTTGCTGCAAGTTTGTCAGCGAGGGAAAGCCTTCTTCTATTTAGTACTGTCTTAGCGAGTTTCTCCCGCTTTCTGGTTGCAGAGATAGAATTCGGCGAAGGAGATCGTTCAACTTCGATCATTTTGAGTCAAACCGCCAAAAATCTTAACGTTGCAGAAATATTCGGAATCATCAGTGCATAAGTTTTGTAACCTATTTGCAACTGCTCTATGAAGAGATGATTTTTGCGTTTACGATAGAAATGACGAAATTGATCATGCTACTATTCTCAAAAATCATAACCTTCCGTACACATCCGATCTGCACAAACTTTTCACGATTGGAAAGAGTAAGTCGTAAAACTTATGCACTGAAAATTCCGAATCTTTTCTGCAACATTTCAGATTTTTGGCGGCCTATTTAAGATTGAAGGCAGCGTCCCCTCAAATCGTTGGGTATCGGGATTTTGCAACCTTGCAGTGGCGGACCCCCAAATAACCCATCTGTGAAGTTTGGAGCGAAAAAGCGCTCTGGAAAGCCCAAAATCCATTCCAGAAGTCTTACGGACCCCGCCCACTTCGAAACTCCGCCCAATTCGTACATGTAATTTGGAGCAAAGACATGGAGAGCTTCGAAAAAAGCTCATTTTTGCCACTTTCAAGCGCTATAAAGCTTAGATATGGCTTCAGCATGGCGAAAAGGCTCCGA